TGTGTGTGTGTGTGTGTGTGTGTGTGTGTGTGTGTGTGTGTGTGTGTGTGTTATGCACGTGTGAGTACAGGCACACCTGTACTCACCATGAAGCACATGTGAAGATCAGAGGACAACTTCTCTCCTTTTCTCTTCCTGTGGGTTGTGGGAAGAGGATTCAAGTCATCAGGTTTTCCTGATGCTGGTCCCCAGTCTCTTTTTTTGTTTAAGTGGCAGCCAGAGATGTTAGAAATTAGAGATCAGACAAAAAGGTCTTTTTTTTTTTTAATCCAAAGTTTTAACCAAAATAGGCTAGTATTTTAAAATGCAAATTAAACAAATGAAAGGCATGCCATAGCTCTCTGTCCTGTGCCTATTTGGGTGGCAGCAGGGATTATTAGATGCTGTTGAAGAAAGGTTGTCAGATTTCAGATGAGAAAGATGTCCATGGGTACTTGCTGCTGGGAACTGGAGGAATCCACAAGCCACAGGGACACAGAGTGCCTGGGGGTGGGGTAGCTCAGTTACAGTACTTGTATAATTCCCCACAGTATTTACATGTTTCCAGACCTCCAAGGAATGTTCCTAGTGTCTAGCTGCAGAACTCAGGAAAACCCACATTATTAAGACCCATTTGTTGCTGTTAAATTAAAGGGACGGCTAATAATATTATAATTATTACAGTGGTATTATCTAATCTGCTATCACAATCAATCACAGACACAGACACCTGTGTCTGATAGATTTTAGACTAGCCTTATTCCATGTGGGGCGTTGCAGATACTAACCCTCTAAACTATCCTTATCACTTCTAAGCCCCCATCCCATCCCATCTGCTTTAATCCTTCCTATCTGGGTTTCCCCGCACCCATAATACCCAAATACTTGCTGATGTTCTTCATTTGGGCCAATTTTCTCCATCCATGCCAATCAGGCATGTGCTTCTACATTAACCAATGATGGTGGCTTCCTCTGTCTTCCTCCTCCTGTACCTGTCTCTTTCCCAAGATCTTCCTGTCCCCAAAGTCCTTGAACTTTAGCCATGCCTACCACCTTCTGCACTGCCAAAGTGTAGACCTTTCAATCAGCCAACTGGAGATAATTGGTGAACATTTCTTCTTATCACATAGGTACAGGAGATAGTTCTACATTACTAACAATGCCTAAGGCAGGGTGGTAACCAGATCTCAAGGCACTGAAATCACCATTTGAATACATAGCACCAGGCCAACCCCCAACATGCATTACAGTGTACTGTGTCATTTCCATAAAATTGTATCTTGTGACATCATCACCTGGACTTTTAAGACACCAAGACACTGAGAGCTGACAAGGATTTGCTTTGTGGAATAGCTCCTGAAACAGAACAAATGTAATCAGACAGGGGCCTATTTTGTGGGCGAGGTGATTTTTGCTTTAAAAAAAAAAAAATGTGTCCTGAAAGCATAGGTGTGACTCACTACACGGCTGTTTTCCTATTTAGAGGCCTCAGCAAGGAGTCTGAGAATCAAAGAAGGCTTAATCCTAGAGAAGTCACTAAAGAGATAAATGAGGGATTAGAGCTATCTGCAGCAGGATCGAAATTCAAGACTTCAGTGCAGTAAGAAAGTGGAGAAGGCATGGGAGTCAGGGCAGGCAAGGAGAGGATGGAAGTAGAGAAGCCAGGAGAAAACAAAGAAGCCAAAGTCCCTAATCTACATACATCCAAATTCATAGGCTTTGGGGCACTAGGATGAAGACAGGGTTAAGAGAAAGAAATCTACATGGTGAGGTCCTGACTACCTTCCCCTTGTTCATTCAGCAACAACAAAGAAGTGACGAGGGGGGGGGGTGTAGAATGCGGCTGGGTGCCATAACAAATCCACAGCATGCATGTACAAGTACCCCCCAGAATTTGCATCATGTGCCAGACTGTTTCCATAAAATGGTGAATATAACAGAGACAGTTCCTGTCTGCCTACTGAGGTACAGAGAGGGGCAGATAAAAACAACCTTTCCACCTGCAGCTTTCTAAAACTATGTGGGCTTTAGATTGCCTGTAATATTTCTCCCAACTCGAGGTCTGAAAGGAGAGAGAAAATTTGAAAGGCTTAGCAGTAGTTATTTTAGATGATCCTAATCTTTTTCTTTTTATCACTGCCTTCTGGAATTCTTCTATAATGAACTTGCATTATATATGCTTAAGAAAAACAGCAGAGAGATTTTCCCTTCCGTCATGGTTTCTTAGGAGGTGAAAGGTGTGTCATTCATCCATTAGTAATAAAAGCTGTAAGTCGCTCCTGCCTTGCCTTTCTAGTGACTGGCTTCTTACTTTACCTTTGCCTGATGAGGCTTGAGGAAAAATGCTCAGAATCATCCCACCCCTTTTCTCATCACCTCTGTAGGTATGAAGGAAGCTATTGTGAACCTAGGAAGGTTCTCTCTCTCTCTCTCTCTCTCTCTCTCTCTCTCTCTCTCCCCTCTCTCTCTCACACACACACACACTTGAGACAAAGAGTTCCAGTGCAAACAAGCATGGGCTTCTCTTCCTCAGCCCTCCCATTCAAGCCTCTCCCCAGAAAGGTCTTTTGAGCAATTTTGATCACTCCTGTTCCTGTGTTATCACGTACTCTACCATCGCTACTGTTTTCTGTCAGATCTTGGCTCAGCTCCTCCCTTGCACTGTGTTCATCAACTTCTAATTTCACATGAATCTCCTTTCTCTAAAACCTTAGCAGCTATTACCCCCACACTTCTGAGATCCAGTCATGAAAACAGAGAAGATCTGTTGTGCTCATTGCTATTCCTATCAGTAATAAGAGGGCCCAAAACACATCTTAGACCCTCAACCAGTGCTCTCTTCGTCAGTGAATAAAAAAATGAACAAAGTGGCCCCTCTGTCCTCTCTCTGTCAAGCTTTCTTCCCATGCATGCTACGGCCAAGCCCTCTGACAGCTCACAAAAGCCAATTGCTAAATTCCCAGAGACTTTACAAGCCAGTTGTTAGTCTGTTTGTGGCTTAAAATGGGCCATGGTGAGCCCATTTTCTTACACCACAGAAATCTGCAAATGCTACGTGTCAAGACATTTCCCCCCAAAGAGCTGGTTTCCCAGCATACCACTGTTCTTCCCTTCCAAATGGAACTATGAAATTCAGCAAACAATAACAACAATAATGACAATAAGCCTGCTGCAGAGCTCACTTAAAACCTCTCGATAAAAGGCGCTTGATGCTTTACAACATATTAACTAGAAGCTAATTAACCACTTACCTGTTGGGGCTCAGTCCTTTCCTGAGATAATTTAAGACCTAAACACGTGGCTCTGAAAAGCAAGAAGCTTCAGAAAGTGAAAGTACCTGCTGCCAAACCTGAGTTTGATCCCTCGGACCCACATGGTAGACGAAGAGAACAGATTCCCACGAGTTGCCCTTTGACCTCCCAGGGTGTGCACACTGAGGCTTGTGCCCCATCAAGCAAACTGAGGGGCTAGAGAGGTGGCCCAGAGGTTAAGAACATTGGCTGTTCTTCCAAAGGTCTTGAGTTCAATTCCAAGCAACCACATGGTGGCTTATAACCATCTACAGTTAGATCTGGTGCCCTCTTCTGGCCTGCAGGCAGAACACTGTTAAAAAAAAAAAAAGCAAACTGTAATAAAACATTCTAGCTAAAATAAAACACATGTCCTAATGTTCCTGTACTTGCTTTTCAGATCCTTATGTGAAGATTCACCTGATGCAGAATGGCAAGAGGCTGAAGAAGAAAAAGACAACAATTAAGAAGAACACGCTTAACCCCTACTACAATGAGTCCTTCAGCTTTGAAGTTCCCTTCGAGCAAATCCAGGTAGAGTTTGTCCTTCCGCTCAGTCTCATGCCTTCAGATCACATGAAGGACAAGAGTAGACCCTGCGAGGCATCAGTGCCCGTGCCTTCATTAGAACTGGCCCAAGGACGTGCGATGCCTGAGCTCCACCAACCGGGGCATAGTAAGATACACAGCCTGTGAGGTGCTGATTCATTAGCTGCAACAGCTAGCTGCCTTCTGCTGAGCAGAAATAAGGTAGAAAACAGAAAAGCAACAGAACCACTTTGCTACGTCAATAAATTTGTCTATGGAACCCAAAAGCCAAGAGAGAGTGAACGTGCCTGTGTACTCCCAGGCTACAAAAAGCACTATGCTTCTACAGAGCAAAAATAATCAGGATCCCACCTTCTGGCATTGCCCGTGGTGTTTACATAAGCTAGCTCATACCCACTTTCACATGTAGGAAATTGTACGTACTTACTTATTTTCAACATCTGTTAGATAAGTAAATGGTACCGTTTCCCTGTCCTCAGTCACTGCTTGATCAGTAGTCTAAACCTGGGAGGACTTCAGACCTGGCAAATCCTTAAAACATCAGTTTTCTACCATAATTTATTTTGCAATATCTGCTCAGTAAACTTTTTTGAGTTCTAAGACCTTATTCCTACAAAAACTAACACTCCCTGGCATTTTGTTCTTTAATTCCATAAAACAATACAAAGGTGAGGTAAAAAATAAATAAATAAATAAATAAATAAATCTTCTTATAAACTTATTTCTTTGGACTATAATCCCATACTAATAAAAATACATTTTACCTATGAAATTCAGACAGTAGAAATATACTGAAAGGGAGGCATATTAAAAAGAAAATAAAATATGCGATATGGGGTAGCATTTTAGAGGTGAGAGGACCTGAAACTGACATGAAGCAGATTGGATTTGGAAATAGGAAGCACCCAGTGGCTGCATGCTGCCTTCTCTCTCTCTCTCTCTCTCTCTCTCTCTCTCTCTCTCTCCCTCTCCCAGAATGCTGTTTTCCCAGTATTTGCCTAAAGCACTGGTTCTTAACCTTAACCTTCCTAATACAGCTCCTCATGTTGTGGTGACCCCCAACCATAAAATTATTTTGGTTGCTACTTCATAACTGCAATTTTTATGAATCATAAGGTAAATACCTAATATGCAGGATATCTGATATGTGACCCCTGTGAAAGGGTCATTCGACTCCCAAAGGAGTGTTAATCCACAGGTTGAGAACCTCTGCCCTGAAGAGTATAGTGTTTTGCCTGCTAACAGAGGGGTTTAGTGTTCTCTTAGGGTGAGATTGTAAGAGTATGTGCCTGTCTTCAATCTATATCAATCCCCCTGAAACATTTGTGAAGGAAGCAAATTATGCTAATTTCAAAAAGCATTTGAAAAATGTCTTCACCACCTTCATCAAAAAGTGCCGAAAGAAAAGAGGGAGGCAGCTGCAAAACAAATCCAATGGGCACCCCAATTTATCCCCTCCTCAGTAACATGATCAAGTTTGTCCTAACTCTGAAAAGTCCATAATGTTTGCACATAATGTGCAATCATTATGGAGGCACAATGATTGCATCATGGCACATTTGCTTGGGACAAGATCTGAGAATCAAAGTCACAAATACCATCTTGCCCTTGCTCCCAAACACTACCTAGTAAAAAGGTCATTTACTTATTTTATTTATTTGTGGTACAGGGGATGAACCAACTACCACTAAGCCATATCCCCAGCCTAGCAAGGCTGCACACAGAAGATAGTACTACATTTCTGCATTGTAAATTCCACCTTCAGAAATGATTGCTGGGCCTGTGAGATGGCTAAGTGGGTAAAGACACTTGCTGCCAATCATCGTGATCTGGGCTTGATGCTCAGGACCCGTGTGGTAGGAGAGAATCGACTTTTGCAAGTCGTCCTCTGATCTCCACATGCATGCCATGCCACACATGCCTGCACACACGTGCACAGACACACACACACACACACACGGAATAAATAAATGTAATAAGGAAATGACTTCTTTAAAAAGAAGTAATTGTTTTTTTGCTGTTCCAATGATGTACCTCAATGATATCTCTCAACACGCTGACAGAGCAGCTCAGTTCTCAGAATCAAAATCCACCTACGCTTTGCTTTCATCATTATATTCTTCTCTTTGATGCTGGCTACAAATCGATAGAGCTACTTTATTTAATATTTTATTTCTATGTCCAGTGTCTAAATCAGGGCCATCACATATTCTGAGTAATCAAATCCATTACTTAGGAAGTAAAATTGAGACATTCTTTAGAGAGTGTATCTTTTATACTATAATAATATGATTTTGCCTTTATTAATTCAGTCAGTCCAAGAGAGGGAGCTATTAAATAAACCCTCACAATCTGATGGAATCCCAGAAAAACAATTCATGTCTTAAGGTAACACCCATTTAATATCAATGCCAGATACATAGTAGTTACTAATTAGTACTCATTAAAGAAATCATACTCAAGAAAAAGCATATTTTATTTAGTTATTGCCTTTTTAAAGGATTTTTACGATATTGCTATACTTTATGGTCACAGTTATATGATTTGGTCAAATCCTTTTAGTTTTACATAAAGTGCTGGCTGTCACCTCTTGAAATGAGATCGTAATTCATGATTACTCAGAAAGTTTTAACAGCAACAGCAGCCATCAGCAAAAGAGAATGGCCTAAGTCCTAATGCCAGAACACGCATAGATGAAACACATAAGGCAATGTCACAACTTTCCATAGGTAGTTTGGCGCGGTAGGTAACAGCATAGAGTCTAGAAACCAACTCAACCATTCCTTGTGTGATCTCAGACAGGCTGTAAAACTTTTGTGAGCCTCCAGTGTCTGTATCTGTACAACAGAAATACTAATAGGATCTCTCGAGAGAAATCACTGAATTATTTCTCCTGTAAAGTTATATAATATAAATTAATGTATACATTAAGGTGATGACCAGGCATGATGATACACACCTGTAATCTCAACACTTGTGAGATAGAAACTAGAGGATCAGGAATTCAAGGTCATCCTCAGCTACATAGTGAGCTTGAAGCCAGTATGAAGAACATGAGACACAAACCCCACCCCAACAAAAAGTAATACGATGACGATGACGATCATGAAGGTAGTGACGGCCACAAATATGTAGAGACAGAGCAATAAAAACTGGGCTGAAAGTGTATCAAAACAGATATTAAGACTCCGGCAGAATGCAGGGAACCAAAAAAAGGGGGGGGGGGTTAATATGACCTGGAGAGGACAGGAGTTCCAAAAGGACCAAATATATCTGGGCACAGGGGTCTTTTATGAGACTGTTTCTCCAAACAAGGACCATGTATGGATGCAACCTAGAGCCCCTGCTCAGATGTAGCCCTTGGTAGCTCAGTATCCAAGTGGGTAACCTAATAAGGGGAACAGGGACTGTTTCTGACATGAACTCGATGGCGAGCTCTTTGACCTCCCCCCTCCCCAGGGAAAAGTAGCCTTGCTAGGCAACAAAAAAGGACTTTGCAGCCAGTCCTGAAGACACCTGATAAACCAGTATCAGATGGAAGGGGAGGAGGTTCTCCCTTATCAGTGAACTTGGAAAGGGACAGGGAGGAGATGAGGGTGGGAGGGTGGGATTGGGAGGGAAAGAGGGAGCGGGATACAGCTGGGATACAGAGTTAACAAACTGTAACTAATATTAAACAAATAAAAATTTAAAAAAAATAAATAAACTGGGCTGAAGCTTCCAGAGTAGTCAAGCACTTTGAGCTTCATCTTGGTGGTTAAGAATGGATTCTTTGTTCTCATTCCTTGGCTTCCCATGGAAACTCTTGTGTATCCCAAGAGCTCTCTCTGTAGGACTGGCTGATGTGTGTGCATTTTTGTGTCCTCTTTCAGAAAGTGCAAGTGGTGGTAACTGTTTTGGACTATGACAAGATTGGCAAGAATGATGCCATCGGCAAAGTCTTTGTGGGCTACAACAGCACCGGCGCGGAGCTGCGACACTGGTCAGACATGCTGGCCAACCCCCGGCGACCCATCGCCCAGTGGCACACTCTCCAGGTGGAGGAAGAGGTTGATGCCATGCTGGCTGTCAAGAAGTAAAGGGAAAAAGAAGCCTTTCTGCATTTGTCCACATAGTGCTCTTTAGCCAGTATCTGTAAATACCTCAGTCATATGGGTCCTTTCAGTTTCCAGCCATGCATTCCTAATACGATTCAGTGGTACTTCAGATCCTGTTTTAATTTGCACAGATTTAAGTGTAGAGATACCCTATGCCCTTCATCATACCACTGCCCTCCAAATCTACTCTTCTTTTAAGCAATATGATGTGTAGATAGAGCATGACTGAAATTATGTATTGTATCACACTGTTGTATATACCAGTATGCTAAAGATTTATTTCTAGTTTGTGTATTTGTATGTTGTAAGCGTTTCCTAATCTGTGTATATCTAGATGTTTTTAATAAGATGTTCTATTTTAAACTATGTAAATTGACTGAGATATAGGAGAGCTGATAATATATTATATGGGAAATATAGTATCGTCTGCATTCCAGCAAAAATATCAATTTGAAAGGCACTAGTACAGTTAAACTGACATCTTAAAGGACAACTTAAACCTGAGCTTTCTATTCAATTATTTGAGTACCAAGATTCGTTCACACTACATCCTTGGTGGGCAAACCCCATTTTGTAGAATTCTTTCACAGTCAAATAGCACGACCTGAGCAGCATCTAGGCTGACCTCAAGGAAGCAAAGCCACAAACCAGAATAGCATCTGTCTGTACATATCTGCAAAGCTAACGTCATGGCTTCACTCTTACACTCAAGAAAGCGATGAATTGGAGTCAGTGAGTTCATACAACTGCATCTAGCACAGCATCACAATGGTGTTCTCTGTGAGTGTGTGAGCAAGTGTGAAAGTGTGCACGTGTGTTATGTGTGGTGCATGCCTTTGTTTGGGGTTAGGGTGGGGGAGGAGAAGCTGAGAGAAGTCAGCATTTCTGAAATACTGCCTGATATTTAAAGAGGAAATAGCTCTCCATTATCACATTTATATAAAGCGTGCAACCTGTGAATTCTGATCCAGATTTCACACCAGTAATGATTCCAAAGGTATGCGCGTGAGACTTTGTAACAAAATATTTTATTATACAAAACCAGATTAGAGGGAATGCAGAATATTTTTAACACAGCAATCTGTGCTTATTACACAAAATTACTTTGTGGTAAACAGACAGTATTGTAAATCCCATCAAAAGATGAAAAATACAAATAATTAGCCATAGTTCTGAATGCACTTCGATTAAGCCAAAACAGACAGCTAGTGATCTTTTTATACGCTCTTTTTACTTAAGTTTTAATTTGTCCTTTAAACAAAGGTGAAACCAAGAACAAGTTCTAGCAAACTGAAGCAACCTCTTATGTACACTAGATGCTTGACTTAGGAGGAGTTTTTAAATGTTTTCAATGTTATTCCGTAGCAAATGGCACTATTACGACGCTACTAGTCATTCCATACAAGTCTTAAGGACTGCTCTGTGTAACACTGTGACTGCCCTGTGTGCTTAGACACGTAGTTTCCTCAGTGGATAGCACTCAACTTATTCCCTAGTGATATTGTAACAATACTGCCATTCCCTCTTACTGCACTGCCCAACGTGTGTGTAGCACAAACAGTTCTCGTTACTAAGGACCAATTCAGAACTGAACAGCTATGCATAGGACAGAAAGATACATTGAGCAGGGGGTGGGAAGAAAACACAGCATTTTGTCAACACTGTGCACCAGTCCACGTCTGTTCCACCCCGGTAGTCAGCCACTTCAGGAAGGTGGGCCTGCTACCGAACCCCGCTTCTAGTCTCTTCTCCCACTTGACATTGCCACCCGATTTCACCAGCAGGCCACAGAGAACAGCAACGCTCTGATGTGAGAGACTGTCTGCACATAATATAGCAAAACAAGATGGAGGAATGCTAAGCATGCCTTCACGTGCGATCTTTAGGATTTAGCTCCATGTTTCGGACAAAACTCAAGAGAATCCCAGAAAGGGCTGTCGGTAGATTTTAAACAGAGTCATCTGTTCCTCCTCCCAGACAGCACAACACAGGATCCAAATCCTGGTTATGATACTTTCCTCATCAGAGAAGAGGCAAACCCTCTGCCTTTCATTCCATCACAGCAAAGTCTTTAGAAGTAGGACAGCCACACAGGACAAGGAGAACATCCTTTCTTGTGGATGAACAGCACTTTTTAAAAATTAAAAATGATGATAGGAAATGCACACTCATAAATGAGATTAAACAGCAGTTTAAGCAGAAGACTCAAATGAGGTGCTTTCCTATTTAAGGGACTAAGTCCTACCAAACAGAAGGAGTTGACTTTTAAAAACACCTTAAATACCAGACACTGACATTTAATTTCTCCATCTCCTGATTTAAGTTGTACATAATGGAACAACATGTCCAAGGAAGCAGCTCCCAGCTGCTGGAGGGACATTATTTCCTGCATCACAGTACTATTAGCACATTCCCTTGCAACACTGCCAACGTGGGATTGTCACCATAGATTTAGTTGGTACTATGTCATCTCTCATGAGCCGGTGACTGGACCTGCTTTAGAACCAAGATTCATCCTCTGATAAGCCACACATACCTTTCTGACAATGCTGTGTAAAGTTTTAGAAGCTGATGCCCTAGAAAGATCCTAGTTGCCTTTGTGTATATTTACTGCCTGCTTGAGTGTTTCTATGTGTGGGTTTTCTCTGTGTCTTGTAGAAATGTTGGGGTGTTTTCTTCTGCCATAAGGCTCGTGGCCCGCGAGCCAACTCCTTTAGCTGTGTTTTCCCTTCATTTTTTTGATAAGTGGTTTAAATTTTGTTTCACTTTGTGTAGTGACTCCCATGGTAGTTTTCCGGTTGTTGTTAAAAATGACTTAACATATTACATGGATACTCAATAAAAATGTTTTATTTCCTGTTGATCGTTGCTGTCTTTCAACTCTTTTTGTTAACTGACTTGGGCTTTAGTAGAGGATGCATTGACCTTGTGGATGGCCAGAAACAGAGGCAGCTAAAAGAAAGCTTGTGCTAAATGCCAGCCTTAAAGTCATGTCTGGGACAACACAGCAGCTTCAGAGGGACAATGCCCAGAGGGCATCTGTCCAATATCCCTCACCTGTGTTTCTCTGTGCCAATTGCAAACCCCCTTAGCATAGCTTAAAACTTTTCAGTTTGCCTAAAATGTGTTTTTGAGGGATTTCACTTCAATGCCAAACTAACATACACTTTCCCTAGAATGAAACCAAAATCAAATTGTTTTAAGTGCGTCTTTAGAGGACAGAATGAATATTAAAGTCCATGGCTGCTAAAATGATTAGAAGGAAATGAATGGCTTTCCTACATTCAGTCAACAGCAGCATGGCATTTACTATGTACCATTCTTTACTAGACGCTGGAACCCGGCCTCAGACTCATGTACACTGCATTATGATATGTATACTCAAAAGTAAGCACCTTGGAGGCTGTAGAGTACTCACCGTGAAACCATGAGAGTGTGAGACCAATAAGACAGATCAATGGGAAGAGGCAGTTGCCATAAAAGCCTGATAACCTGCGTTTGATCCCCAGAAGCCATAGAAAGAAAAGAGCCAGCACCACGTAGTTGTCTTACACCTGAGTGCTGTGGCACATACAGACATACATACATATGTACATACATGCACATATACAGACCTGGAACTTGCTCTGTAGACCGTGCTGGCCTCAAACTCGCCCGCCTGTGTCTCTGAGTGCTGAATTTAAAGGCTTCTCAGGTGTTGCCTGCTGACAGTTTGCTCTTTCCCTCTGCTACTAACAGCTTTCCCACTTGAGTTCAGTGAGTAGCCCACATGGTTGATTCAGGAACTCCAAACTCAACTCCACAGTCCAGGGTATATGTACTACCACCACCCGACTTAAAAAAAAAAAAAAAACAGTTAAAAGAAAAAAGCATAAACACCTAGTTCAATCTCAAAACCCATGAAAAAAGCCAGCTGTAGTGGTAGAGTCTTATAATTCCACAGAGCAGGGGAGACAATGGCAGGCAGGTCCTTGGAACTCTTTGGCCAGCAAGCATAGTTAAATTGGCTAGCCTCGGGCCAGTAAGAGACTGTCTCCAAAAAGAAGGTGGACACACCTGAGGGATGACCTCTGGCCTTATCACAAATACACAAAAGTAAGCACTTCTGACCCAAGAACTTTCACTCACAGCACATGTTGTGGTTTGCCATCTTAGTGCCTTTTCAGCACCAAGGGACTATCCTGCAGCTTCTCAGCTGTTGCCTGCTGACAGTTTGCTCTTTCCCTCTGCTACTAATAGCTTCCTCACTTGAGTTCAGTGAGTAGCCCACATGGTTGATTCAGGAACTCCAAACTCAACTCCACAGTCCAGGGTATACTGTATACTCCATCCCGGGGGACTCATACTACAAGGCCTCCAATAGGAGAGATCATTGGAAGTTCCTAGAGAAACCAAAGCAACAAAGAAATCCTGAAGGATCTGGTAGGAGTCACCTAAGCCAGAGCGTGGGCAAGATGTCTGCCAGATTGTCATTATTTGACAAATTCATTTTTATGATAAAATTCTCCGCTGGCCAGCTCCATCACACTTCCTGTAATCAGCTCTATTAGTCACTCCACATGAGGACAGGGACCAAGCATGAATTGCTTAAACCGCCTAGGGAAAGACCACATAATTACTGAGCACTGTGAGGCGGCAGTCAGCAAAGGCTTCTCAATTTAAATTGGGAAAAGAATCTCAAGGAAGGGCAGGTTAGAAACAAAATGTCATCGCCCGGCATGGTGAGTACAACTGCTGGGCTATCACCGAAGGAGGCTTTGTTTCCTGAAAACCTCTCAAAATTAGATCCAGATCTATGGAAAGAATATTTCCTAATGAATTACCAACTGCAACAAATAATCACCCAGGCTTTTCTCAATTTTTGCTTTTCCAAAGGGTCCCTAGGTCTAAAGCAAACACAGGACACTTCTTAGATATTTTAGTCAGAAAACAAAACAAAACAAAACAAAACAAAACAAAAAAACGCTTCAGACATTTCAAAAGTGCATTTAATATTGGGAACGCGTCACCTGGGGAGTGCTGAAAAAACACATAGATGCCCTCACCTTCCCCCTCCCCCGAGATTATTAGATACCACCTTTAAGGTGAAGAGGATTTAGTGTCTGTCGAGGGTCTGGAACCTAGGGGAAGGTGGCCTGAGGGCTTCATGACATTGTCACACAGACTAGTCCAGAGGAGGGCAGGTAACAAAAAAGGGAGCCTCCACAGGAGGCTCTTGAAAGGCCAGATGGCTCTTCTCAGGGACTGTCCCAGGAGCCAGGAAAGAATTCTGTCTCTTTCCCTCCTACCTCTAACTCAATCAATGTGGGGGACCCATTGGTAGGAACTCATCCCCAGTTGGCAAGGGATGCTGGGAAAAAGTCATCAAAAGCTAAGGCCACATCCCAAGTGTCCTGTAGAGCCCAGATAGAATGAGGACTGAGAACAAAAGCCTTGGGCCATCCCCAGATACAGTTCGTGGTTTTCCCCCTCTTAAGATGATTCATGTGTTCCCACAAAATACTCCCTCCGACAAGGTGGGTGCCCAGTAACTGCATCCCTCCCCCTCTGTCATGCAGAGAACTTACCCCTCCAGACTCCAACCACGATTGCGGGCCTGCTCTCCCTGGAGCACACCTGTGGTACCCATACCCATATTTTTTAATTTATTTTCATATTTATTTATTAGTAACTGACAAGCTCCACACAAAATTTGACTATTAAACAGTCAGCCGGCAACCAAGTTACAAAACAAAACAAACAAACAAACAAACAAACAAAAACAAAACAGAAAAATATCAGTGAGCGATACCGTGGTACTACATGTATTAAGAACATTTGCAAAGCACGCCAGGTACTAATTATTCAGAACAAGCCATAGGAAGAGACCAGAAGTTTATATTTATACCTGCTGGTCTGAGCCTCCTGATGACTTATGTAACCTGGGCATGGAGACACATTACCTGCCTTTAAGAACCCCTGCTTCAGCTCCCTTGATTCCCTTACCCCTCACCCCCACCAGTGTGGGCTCATCTGAATAGTTCCCACATTCTCCCTTTTTCCTTAAAGAGAATAGCAATTTACCATCTAAGCCTTTCTCCTGTGCACAATATACTTGCATCTGCCAGGCCTCCTGCAAGGTTAAAAAGCATTTGCCAGAGAGTAAATGGACACTCACTTCCTTTTCCATTATCCTCTTTATCTCTTCAGGCCCACACTTCCCGTGACTAGAAAGAGCACAGTCCAGTCTAGGTGCTTTTGGTAAAATGGTTTGGATGGCAAATGGGGAAAGAAAATCCAATTGAAGCTGGCTTAAGGAAATAAAGGCAAAAATTAAAAGAGAGAGAGAGAGAGAGAGAGAGAGAGAGAGAGGAAGGAGAGAGAAGAGGAGAAAAGGGAGAGGGAAAGGGAGGCAGGAAGAGGGTGGAAGACAGAGGAAGAGGGAAGAAAGAAGAGAGGGAGTAAGGAGGGAGAGGGAGGGAGAGGGAGGGAGAAACAGGGAGGGAGGGAGGGAGGAGGAAGACTGACTCTTGGTTTACTTAACTTGGAAGATTAGAGTAGATCCATCAGGAAAAACTGGATTTACAGTCAGGGTTCCCATCCCTTCTCTTTTCTCTCCCCTTTCCCCAAAAAACCCTAGCAGAGGGCACTTCTTTCACAGTATCATCAAACTTCCCATAACTCACTTGCATGTCTAGGACACACGTCTGAAAATAAACACCATGGCCAAGGGATACAGAATTTGCTTTGCCAAAATCTAGGTCATATCTCTAGACAAATAGGCTTGGGGGTGGGGTAAGGTATGCTCCTGAGCAGAAGAAAAATGTAATGTTAACAAAAAAAAAAAAAAAAAAAAAAAAAAAAAATAGGAAAGGCAAACAAAAGAAATAAACCCCAGTTTCTCCACCCCTGGTATA